TTACCAAAAGAGACTATAGACTATGGAGGGAGAGAGGAAAGCCTAGGATAAAACCTTGGGGAACACCCACAGTTAGAGGGCAGGATATGTATGCTGAGCCAGCAAAAGAGACTGAGAAGGAGCGGTCAGACAAATATGAGGAAAACTTGAAAAGAACAGTGTAATTTTCTAAGTAGGTGACAATCTGCTGAGAGAAAGAGAAAGAGAGAGAGAAAGAGAGAGAGAGAAGAGAAGAGAAGAGAAGAGAAGAGAAAGAGAGAGAAGACAAGAGAAGACAAGAGAAGTAAGTGAAGAGAAGAGAAGAGAGGGGAGACAGAGACAGAGACAGAGAAGAGAAAAGAGAAGAGAGAGAGGGGAGAGAGAGACAGAGAGACAGAGAGACAGAGAGAGAGAGAAGAGTTTCTTCATTTCTCATTGCTTCACCTCATCTCTCAACTTTTGACCTGGAGTTCCCTATACCAATGAAATTACAGGTCTTTGACAAAAGACGAAAACAACCCTTCCTCCCCCCTAAAAAAAAATGCCTCAGCATTATAGATTTAGGGCTGGAAGGGCCTCAGAGGCCAACTTTTTCATTTTGCAGATAAAGAAACTGAGTCCCAGGAAGGTTAAGTGTTTATTTAGCCCAAGGTCACAAGAACAGTAAGTATCAGAAGCAGAACTTGAGCTGACTTCCCCTTATTACAGAGCTAGGCTCTTTTTTACTGTATTATTTTTGCTTTCCAATAAGATGATAACAACACCTCAAATTTGTATACGATTTTATTTTGCTGGGCCTTTCCCCCTTCCATATCTTCTTTCACTTAAGAGCTCTAGCAATCATAGATATGTAGGATTTACAGCTAGAATTGACATATTTCCTCTCCCTCTGGTGAACATTTCTTTTTTTTTCCACTTAATAGTATTTTTTCCAATTACATGTAAAGATAATTTTCAACATTCACTTTCATAAGATTTTGAGTTCCAATTTTTTTCTCCCTCTCTCCCTCCCCTCCCCCATACCCAAGATAGCAAGTAATCTAATATAGGCTATACATGTGCAATCATATTAAACATATCTCCTTAGCAAACATTTCTTAGAGAACCGTCTGAGCCGAAGAGAATTTAAGTGACTTGCCTGTGGTCAGACAGCTAGTAAATACTAGAACATGGATTTAAATTCACTCTGTCTACTGCAAAGACAAATTAAATTGGATGATCACTGTCCTTGAGGAGCTTTCATTGTGCTTCCTGTTTATTACAATTATGGCTAGCACACAGAAACAAATAGCGAGGAGGTAGGTTTAACACAACCAACCAATCAACCAACAAGCATTTACTAATTACTAATTACTAAGAAGCCTGTTCTGTGCCAACCACTTTTCTAGGTGTTGGGGAGAGGGAGTTCCCTCAAAGGGTTCACATTCTATTGGAGGAGACAACATGAATGCATCACAGAAGTGTATTGAGGCCAGCTGGTACTGGCTGAAGAGATCCAATTGTTAAATTTACAGTGTGAGCATTTATACTCTGGAAATCAGCAAACACTACAAATAGGACTCAATTTATTGTTTTGTTGATTGTCTAAGTCTTAAGAAAGGGATGGAGAAAATTTTAATAATGAAGCTCAAACTTAAACGTGAGTTGTGTGTACATTTTTGAGAGGAAGAGTCAGTTGCTAAATATTTACTAGCACACTGGTGCACATAAATATATAAAAAATATATTTAAAATAAATACAAGGTAACTTGGCGGGGAGAGCAAATAAATGCTAGCATGTATCTGGGGGATCAGGAAAGACTTCCTGTAGAAGGGGACAAGAGCTGAGCCTTGAAAGAAACTAAGGATTCTGAGAGGCAGAGGAAAAGGGGGATAGCATTTTAGAAATGGGGGACAGACAGTACAAAAGCAGAAACACATGAGATCAAGTCCTGTATGAGGAACAGCAAGCCCAGTTTGGCTGGACCGGAGAATGCTGGAGGAATAATGTGTAACAAGGCTGGAAAGGCAGCAGGGGCTTTAAATTCTGGACAAAGGAATTTATATTTGATCTTGGGGTAACGAGGAGATACTGGGATTTATTGGACCAGGGAGTGACATAGTCAGACCTGAACTTCAGGAAATTCACTTTAGCAGGTGTGTGGAGGATGGATTGGAGAGGGGAGAGCCTTGAGGCAGGGAGGACAATGGATAATGACAGCCTAAAGCAGGTTGATGGTTTGTGTGAGCCAAGCAAAGGGACCATCTATAAGAGGTTCTGTGAAGACAGAAAGGACAAGAGTAGTCAAGTGGTTGGATGTGTTAGAGAGTAAGGAGCTGAGAATGACACCAACGTTGTGAACCTAGATGACTAGAAGGATAGTGGTGACCTCAACAGAAACAAGGAAATTGGGAAGGGAAGTGGTTTTGAGGGGGAAATAATGAATTTTTTTTGGACATGTTGGGTTTCGCATGAAATGTTGGAGTCATGCTTTTGACACGTGCACAGACTCTAACTCAGAATTCTGGCACCTGGGGCAAAAATTCAATTGACAGGGCACTTCCATGCCACAATGAGATCTAAGAGTTAACATTTCATTTGTAGTGGATCAGACAGACAATGAAAAACAGATTGAGTTCAGAGCCTCATTGCCAATTAAGTGAAGAAATTCACCAACCAGTGAAGAAAAGTTTGACTCCAATAAGTCAAAGACCATCTAGTAAGTTAGTAAAGAGGTTATGATCAGAATCAGTGGAGGGCAAGTACCCTCATCAATGAATCACAGATTCTGGAAGTATTAAAAAAAAGTAAGTGCCCTCCTGCCACCATTTCTTACTGATGTAATTTTCTGTTCCTATATCCCAGTTCATTATCAATGAATATAATTTTAAGTATGTTCAAATAATGGGGGGGGATATGTAATTTAATCAAATCAATTAAATTAAATCTCCTTGGGGCAGCTAGGTGGCTCAATGGATAGAGCACCTACCCTGGAGTCAGGAAGACCTGAGTTCAACTTCAGAAGTTTACTAGCTGTGTGACCCTGGGCAAGTTACTTAACCCCAATTGCCTCCAAAAAGAAAAAAATTAAATCTCTTAGTAAAGCCTGAAGGAGAATGTACCCCTGCCCCTCAAGGAGAGTGTTTTCTGATGATTTCCACAAGAGACTCAGTGGAGAAGTCACCAGTGTTATTCTATTTTCTATCACAACGGGAAGCAGGAAGCAGGATTAGTCATTTTTTGGTCAACATTAGTTTCTCTCCCAGAATTAGTAGAATGAAAGTCTTTATTTCAGACTCTTTACAAACATTATAAAAAATAATTATCAGCTTGTAGAATATTTGGTCATTCATCCATTTTCATTTTTGAATGAATATTCATTGAGCATCTACTACACAGGAAACCTTACTACTTACCCCCACACATGACACTCCATCTCTGTTGTCTGTATCTCTCCACTGGCTGTCCTCCATGTCTGGAATGCTCTCTTTCTTCTTGCCTCTACCTGGTAGTTTTTACCATGGCTTCTGGAAAGACTCAGCTCAAATACAGCCTTCTGCAGGCAGTCTTTCCTGGACCTCCCCAGCTTCTATTGTCTTCTCCTCTGAGATTACCTTCAGTCTACTCTGTGGATTTTGTATGTAACTAGTTATTTACATGTCTCCTCCTTAGACTGTGAGCACAGACCATGTCTTTGCCTTTCTTTGTATCTCCAGCACTTAGCACAGTGCCTAACACAGAGTAATCACTTAGTAAATGTTTGGTGACTGGCCCATTGATGCAATTCAGCAGGAGAAATGACAGATATAAAAACAAAGGCAACTTTTAATGTCCCTTTGAGATCTAAATCTATTATACTATGATCTAGGGATTAGGATGGGGACAGAGAACATCAACCTACAGAAAGCACAATGGATAGAGTGTTGGAGTCAGAAAGACTTGAGTTCAAATTCTGTTTCCTCATGTGTAAATGTCCTTAAAGTTCATAGATGCACCTTAGAGATCATCTAATTCAAACCATTCATTTGAGATATGAAGAAAATGAGGCCAAGAATGATAACTTGGCTCATCCAATATCATGTGGATGTTTAGAGCATTAGGCTCAGGATACCTGAGTTCCAGACTGGGCTCTGTTGTTCTTTAGGTCCGTGTGTGGCACCTATCACAGGTTGCCTTGTCCTTTGAGATGGGTGCTATTATTATTCCAATTTTGCAGATGAGGAAACTAAGGCTGAGAGGTTGTGATCTAACCAGTGTCACACAGGTGAAGTAAGGAACTCAGCAAGTGTCTGAGTCAGAATTTGAACTCAGGTCTTTCTGACTCCAATACTCTACCCACTATGCCACCTAAGTAGAAGGCTACTCTCTGTCTCCATACTGATTCCTAGATGATGGAATCATAGATTCAGAGCAGGAAAGAGACCTTACAGGAGTCTAGTTTGTCTCTTCCCTTTATGGTTAAGGAACTGTGGCCAGGAAAGGTTATTTAGTTTGTCCAAGGTCACACAGTAAATAGCAGAAATGGGATTTGTACCATGGTCTTCTGATGCCAAATCCAGTAGTTTATTTTTCTTTATTTATTTTTGGTTTTTGGTGAGGCAATCGGGGTTCAGTGACTTGCCCCGTGTCACACAGCTAGTAAATGTCAAGTGTCCGAGGTCCAATTTGAACTCAGGTCCTTCTGACTCCAAGGCCAGAGCTCTGTCCACTGCGTCACCTAGCTGCCCCTCAAATCCAATAGTTTTCAAGATGACCTTAAGCATCCCACTATGAAATCCAGACCAGGCAGTGTGACAGGTTGAAGCCTTGGAGGAGAATAAAGGTCATGAGAGCCAGGCTGAGCAAAGGAGTGGAGAGAAAATGACACCCACTTCCACGGTAATAGTTAGGACATAGCCCAGTCCTGACACCCCACCCAAGTGTTACTGCCAGTTCTTCCCTGGATCATACAATGCCTACCTCTTCTCCTTTTCTTTCCCTCCCCCATCCTCCAATACACCTCCAGCTGTCCTGAGCCCCAGTCATAGGGGATGAGCTATAGAGATTAGCCAAGCAAGCAGTAGTCTCCACACGTAGCCCTGGAAACCAGAAAAAGCAAAGCTGGGAAGGGGAGCCGTATCCCCAACATGCCTCTGGAGGACAATACCCTCCGAGAAGTCTGGGCCTCTGAAAGGTCAGTGGCACCTCCTAATGCATTCACCCTCGCCTTATGTGAGCTCCTGGTTGTGGGAGTTCCAGGACCCTCCGATCCCTGGAGGAGAGGAAGATGCTGACTCGGAAGTGTTAGAGGGGAAGGAGGGGGCTGGAGGAGAAAGCATTCAGATGGGCTAAACACTGACTCTCCTCCTTCAAACCCCAGTGAGCTGGAGGAGGAATCCGCGAGCCCTGAGCTACAGACGCGCCCCAAACAGGTAGCCAACCCCGCTAACCTCCCCCTATCCTGATGAGATCAGATGGAAACGAGTCCGCTCACGCAGCCGGCTTACACTCCATTAGTGTGTGTGTGTGTGCGTGTGTGTGTGTGTGCGTGTGTGTGTGTGTGTGTGTGTGTGACTTCCCCTGAGGGTGGGTCTCAGGGGTCAGGGGTTTGAGGTGTTATTCTGTGGTGTGATGATGTCTTGTGCAGCTGAAAGGGTTTAGGGAGTACTGGGGAGTGTCTAATAGATGAACACACCTGGGGATATGGGGCAAATCAGAGGAGTGGGCTTTGGGGTATGGAGATATATGTATTCCTGGGCCCTCTCCAGGGTCACCGTAGGCATGAAAAGGAGGGTATCCACTCCTTCATTCCTTGCACCGCCCCTCCCCAATAATCCGTGGTTATTTCTAGCCTCAGCTAAAACCGATTAGCCTCACTAGCCTGACCCCTCAAGGCCTTACCGTTCCCTGGTTACCCTGAGGGCAGCCCCTCCCGTCGGCCAGTACCACCTCCCCACCCCACTCCTTGACCGCCCCCCCTGCACCCCACCCCCATCCCGCAGCGTCTCGCCGCAGGGCAGAAGCCAAAGAAGAAGCGGCCTGAACCCCAGGAGTGCCCCAGCCCCGCCGAAGCCAAACCCCGCAGAAGCGCAGCCGCAGGGCGTGGGGACGAGCGGGGGGCGCCACCGCAGGGTGAGGAGATAGCTGGGATCCAGGGCTGGGGGGAGGTAGGACTAGGCGAGTACCCCTACTCTGCCTCTCTATTACTGCCCCCGGTTGGGGAGCGGGGAAGTGGACGCTGTGCAGGGGGAAAGGGGCGGGAGTGTCTCCCGAGCGCCTGAGTCGCTGTCCCTGACAGAGATGTCTCTGCCCAGCGGGGAAGAAGGGGCGGCGGCGGGATGAGCCGCCCAGGACCCCTGCTGAACCGAACCCCTACGCCAAGTTCATTCGTGACCCCGAGAGGAAGAAGCCAAGCCCCGGGGAGACTTTCCTCGTAGCCCGGGCTCCAAACGTGCAGGAGGGTGAGAGACTGAATGAAGCCCCTGAAGGTGATGGAAGGAGATAGCTGGGGGCACCGAAAGAGAAAGGAAAAGTGGTGCTGAGAAATGTTAACAGAAGAGGGAGAGACTGGGAGACTGAGTGGTGGTAGAAAAGAGAGACAGATGTGGAGCAGAGAGGTATGGGGAGAGACAGAGACAAATAAAGAACAGGGAAAGGCAGAGAAGAGAGAGAGAGATGGGGGAGACATAAAGAGACAGGCAGAGACAGAGAGAAAATAGAGATGGGGGAAAGAGAGAGACAGAGAGACAGATGAGGGGAGAGAGAAAGGGGTAGGGGGGAGAAAGAAAGACAAAGAGACAGAAAGAGACAAAGAGACAGAAATAAGGGGGGGAAGAGAGAGGAGATAGACGACAAAGCAAAGGGAGAAAAGAAACAGAGAGGGTACAAGGAGAGGAGATAAAGTAGTACAAAAGAAGAGAAAGAAGATTGAGACAGGAGGAGAGAGACAGAGACAAGGAAGGAAAGCTGTATAGAGAAGAAAAAGGTTAGAGACAAAAAAGATAAAAAGTGAAAGAGGACAGATAGAAAAGCAAGAAGGGGAAGAAAAGAAAGATAAATGTCTAAAAAGAAAAAAGCACATAGATGGAGAAGTGAGAGAGAAGAAAAAGACAGAAAAGGAACAGAGACAGCAAATAGAGAAGAGGACAGCAGAGACATACTGAAGGCGAAGAGGGAAAGCATAACATTTTAGAACTAAAAAGGACCTTAGAAATCAAGATATAGACATAAAGTAATAGAAGGATGCTTTTCCTAGAAAGTACCTTCCGCCAAGACAAACATAGAGTCACATAATCGTGGAAAAACATGCACTCCTGTCTCTGGCCTCACGTTGGGCTCTGAGAACTACTAGAAAGGAAATGAGAAACATTATCCCTCTTTTCTGGCCCTCTACCATAGTCCTTCACCAATTCCCAGGGTCTTGGTTCTCTTCCAACTCCCTTTCCCCAGACCCTTTCCATCCTGGGTCCTGTTCCCCGAGAAGAGATTGGTTAGGGAAGGAACAACCCACATGATGAAGTTGTGTCCATCCCTAGAAGAGGAGGAGGAAGAGGACGAGGAGGAAGAAGAGGAAGAAGAGAAAAAGAAAGAGAAAGTCTCGCTTTTAAAACCTTCAAAGAAAGTCCTCAAAGGAAAAGCAGATGGAAACACAAAGGGAAAGGGGACCCAGCCCCAAGGTGAGAAGGAGGAAAAAATTTAAGATGAGGGAAGAATGTAGAGAAGGGTAAAAGAGGCTGTAAGATGGAAGGAATAAGAAGACGGGATCAAGAATAAAGAGAAATTCAGCCAAATCAATCAAGCAATGAATTCTGAACAAATACTATGGATAAAATTGTACAGTGAGCACTGTGAGGATCCAGAGAGGTGAATTCCCTGGGGAATTTACAGTCTAGTTGGGGAGATGGTTTAGATGTACACACATTTTAAAACATTAACTTAAAATACAAGTAGGTCACCTGGAACTTCCTATACCAGCTAGGCAAAACTCTGGTCAAAACAAAACAAAACAACACAAACAAAAAAACTATACAGGTAGAAGTCGGTACATAGTAAATGACCGATGATAGTAAGGAGTTCAAAGAACGGATTTGTATTTGGAGACACAGGATCTGGATTCAAATCCCAGCTCTGTCACATCCTACTTGGGGTTACTCTGGGCAAGTCATTTAACATCACTGACCCCCAATTTCCTCAACTATAAAGAGAAACAGTTGGACCTTCAGATGATTTCAAAGGTCCCTTCCAGTTCTAAACCTTTGATCTTACAGTTCTTAAGATAAGAGCTAAGACTTGAAGGCTGAGTAGATGGTTAGAACCAACGAGAGGTTGTTAAGTCATTCAGTCATTTCTGACTCTTCATGATCCCATGGACTTGTCTATAGGGTTTTCTTTGCAAAGATACTGGAGTAGTTTGCCATTTCCTTCTCCAGTGTGTTCCCATTTTACATATGAGGAACTGAGGTGAATGGGGTTAAGTGACTTGCTCGGGGTCACACAGCTAGTAAGTATCTGAGGCTGGATTTGAACTCAGGTCTTCCTGACTCCAGACCAGCTGACCCCAAGGAGAGGTAGTATAGTATAATGCAAAGTGTGTTGGACTTGAAAATCAAAAAACTGAGGTTAAGTTGTTTGCTCAAAGTCACACAGGTAGTAAGCACCAGATTAGGATTTGAACCCAGGTCCTCTGACTTAGATTGTCATTTGATTACCCTATGGTTTCATTCTATATCCCTTTGAATTTCCAGACCAAGATATTGTTCCCTACTAGCTACCGTTCAGCACATAAGTTGTCTCCCCCTATTAGAGTGTAAGTTTCTTTGAGGGCAGCAATAGTATCTCTTATATTTGTATCCTTATGGTGTGCATGATCTCTGACCTCTAGGAGTTTATAATCTCATTGGCAGTTGAGGAAGGGACCTCAGGGATGACAGGATATGAAGGGGATGTCAGAAGCCCTTAGTCCCTTTTTTCTCCTTTTTTTCTCTGCTACCCCCAATCCCTAGGAGATCTGGGAAGCCCTGCTGTCCCCCGGAAAGCTGTCCGAAATAAGAAGAAGGAAGCAGCAGCAGGGAGTTCAGCTGGGGAGGAGCCCAAGATAAGAAAGGGCAAGAAGAAAGGTGAGACCTGCCTACCCTCTCACCCTTAAGGCCAGAGTACTGGGAGTAGGGGAAGAAAGTTATGCTTCTACCATTTTGATTATCTCCCCTCTCCCCTATCCTAGAATCTAGTGAAGGTGAAAGGGACTCCACTGGTACACCTACTGGAAACAAAAAGATGCCAGAGTCTATGTTCCAGGCTGGAGGAGGTGGCCCTACAGAAAAACCATTGAAGAAGAAAGGTGAGGACCACCCCACACTCCCACCCTGGTTTTCCTGATTACCTCCATCTTGCTCCACTCCATTAAGGCTTAGGGTACCCTGGACCAGATATCTTTGGGGTGAGGGGCAGAAGAGTCAAGTCCTGCTGCTGCTGCTGCTGGTAATGGTGGTGGTGGTGGTGGTGGTGGTGGTGGTAGTGGTGGTGGTGGGGTGGTGGGGTGGTGGTGAGAATGACATCAATGGTTTCCCCCACAGTCTGAGCGCCAGGATGTCCTGGGAGGAATCAGAACTACCTCCCTCCCTTCTTCCCCAAGTAATTCCACAGGTAGACTTGACTACCTTGGGGTGGGGATGGGGCACGCAGGGAGAACTTCATCACCTTCTATTCCATCCCTAGCCTCCCCTAAAGTTCCAGAAGCTGAGAGTGAGGAAGAAGAGGCAACAACTAAAAACAGCAACAAAAAGGGAAAAGGGAAAGGAAAAGGGAAAGTCCCAAAGGTAGGATCCCTAGGGGACTGGATTAAGGTCTCCTCAGAGGGCAGAATGTCTGGGGCAGGGATGAAATTTTAGGGGAGTTTCGGGAGAATCAATTTTCAGGTAGCTTAAGGAGCTTGGGATCCTGTGGGTGGGAGACGGTCTTTCCCATTTCAGAGTGGGACATAACCAAATGCAGGACAGAACAGCCCAGTGCCTGGTGCTACCTGGTCTCTCAGCCCTGCCCTCTGAGGTCCAATCATCCAATGGGGCCAAAGTGCCCCCCACTCACACCCACACACAAATACTTTTCATACTTGGACACATTCACACTCAGGCACGTTCATGCTCAGATACAAAAGCATGTTCACACAGAGATGAATACATGTGCTATACATACATAGGCACACATGTATATGAAGAAAGAATAAAAAAAAGCATTTATTAAGTGCTTACTATATATAAGTGGCAGCCTAGCACAGTGGTTAGAGAGACAGTCTTGGAATCAAGAAGGCCTGGGTTCAGGTCCCACATTTCCCATACTGTCTGGGTGACCCTGGGCCAGTCACAACCTCTCAGTGCCCTAGACAACCCTCTAGGTTACAGAGAAGATGCCAGCCTGCATTGTCAGGGGAAGTTTTCTCACCTGGAACTTCCCTATACCAATGAAACCACAAGTCCAGTCCTGATCCCTTATTAGTGCCAGGTACTGTGCTAAGGATACAAACACAAAAGAGACACTATCCCTGCCCTCAAGGAGCTTACACTCTAAATGGGGAGACAACACATGTACTGAATGGTGGCCAGGAGTAAACACTGTTTTAGTCTGGAAATTCCAAGGGATGTAGAATGGAACCATAGGGTAATCAACTGACAAGCCATTTCCAGCATTATTCCAGAGAAATGTACATATACACATATATGCATTGGCATATATGTACATTTTTGTATACACATAGACTTTTGCATGCACAGACATTCACTAATAGACACAATTATACATGTTCTTACACACACATTTGCATATGTTCTCATGTATATATAACAAAGATTTGGGGAAATGATTTTTTAAAAGGAAAATTTTAAATCCATTTTTCGGTCCCTAACACAAGCTTTTAAGAGGTAGAAATTGGGGGGGAATTTTTTTTCACTTCTCATGGAGGCCCAGGAAGAGGCGATGTGCTTGAAGGGAGATTCAGACCCAGCATAGCTGGTTCCTCCAGTTTCTATCTTCTGGGTATAAGGATAGGCCCCCCTCAAGAGCTGTGGACAAGGAACTTAGGGTAGGGGACACCTGGGGATTTGGAAATCCTGGGACAGAATCTTGAATGAATTGGGGTCCCCTGATATTCCTGCTGCCTTTCCCCCATCTAGAAGGAGGAGAGGCCCCCATCACCCCCCATTGAGGTGGATGACCCCAAGGAGTTTGTGCTGCGCCCAGCACCACAAGGAAGAACCGTGAGGTGCCGGGTAACCCGTGACAAGAAGGGAATGGACCGGGGATTGTACCCCTCCTACTACCTGCACCTGGACAGTGACCGGAAGGTGGGGAGTAGGCACAGGAAAGGAAGAGAAGGAACGGGGTAGTGTGGGAAAGGAGAGATTGGGAGGCGATGGAGGGGGCTAAGAGTTGGGCCTGGAACAAATAGGTCAAGGACGGGCATGAGAAACCCTACAGATCAGAGGCGCTACAGGTGAGGGGTGGAGACTCCCTGTCTTCTCCTTCTCCTGTTCCTTGTCTGCTCCTTCCCCGATTCCCAACCTCCTCCCCACGCAGACCCCTTCTCTCTCTTTCCTCCCACCCCCCTTTCCTACCCCAGGTATTCCTCCTAGCTGGCCGAAAACGGAAGAGGAGCAAGACCGCCAATTATCTCATCTCTGTTGACCCCACCAACCTGTCCCGGGCAGGGGAAGACTTCATTGGCAAGCTCAGGTGTGTGTACATAGGGGGCAGTGTGGTATAATGGAAGAGCCCTGGTCTTGGAAGTCAGAAGACTTGGTCCCTAGTTCTGGCTCTGACTAGGTGTATGACCTTGGGCAAGTCACTTGCCTTATCTGTAAAAGGACAGGTTGGACTGGATGATCTCCAAGGTCCTTTGTAGCTTTGTTATTCTGTTCTGTGAGTCCTGAGCAGTTGGGCAACCTGGCTGGGCAGGGCAAAGGGTGGGGAAGGTGACTTAGGCAAGGGTCAGAAGCCGGGAGGATTAGGCTGGGCCCCTTGGACAGACCTTTAAAGGAATACACATATCCTTTTCCCAAAACCTTGGGGGAGGAAGGGGAGGCAGAAGGGCCAAGGAACCTTCTATATTCTCCAATCAGCAATGTCTGTATTGTGCCCTACAGTTTATATAACCCATATTCTCCTTTGATACTCAATACAACTAGTCAGTCAGAGATACTTGTATCTCTGCAGTTGGAGATACTTCCCTCAATTAACTAGTTCTGGAAGCCCCTGTCTCCTTTCCCCAATTAACTAGAAATAGGGACCCCTCCTGCTCTCAGATATAGGGACCATCTGGTGGCTGTAGGTAATGGTGGGAAAGGACAATAGAAGAGGGAAATAAAGACCAGCACATACGACCTCCACCCTTTGACCTGCCAGTCTTCCAACCCATTCCCTGGACTTCACACACACACACACACACACACACACACACACACACACACACACACCCAGATTCCCCTGCCCCATCTCAAGTTCTGCCTCTTGGTTGTAGGTCTAACCTTATAGGGTCCCGATTCACTGTGTTTGACAATGGAAAGAATCCCCATCATGGAGGTGCAGATGTGGGGACCTATCGACAAGAATTGGCAGCTATCATCTATGTGAGGACTGAACTTCTTTTCTAGGCCCTCAGCCTATTGGGCTCCCAGCCTTCAGCTCCCCTCAACCCCCCATCCCAAGTTCCCTATAGCTACCATCCTAGCCCTAGCTCCCTCCTCCCCAGGACCCCACAGTCCCTGCTTCCCATCCCAGGCCCACTTAGGGACCAGACTGACTGGAATCTCCAACCTAGGAGACCAACGTTCTGGGATTCCGGGGACCCCGTCGAATGACGGTCATCATCCCAGGGATGAGCTCAGAAAATGAGAGGATCCCAATCCGGCCCCGAAATGTGAGCTATCTCTACCCTCTGAGTTTTTCCCTGCCCTCTACCCCCTGTCCTAGCTATTCCTGTCCTATGGATGACCCTAAGGGAGGGGAGGGCTGCCCTCTTCACCTGACCCAGTATTTTTAACCCCTCTGCTCCTTCACACTCACCCTCAGGCAACCACACGAACTCCCAAATTCATATTTACCTGGTTGGACTAAAAGCAGAATTCAATAAAACAACCACAGGTTTGGGGTTTTGTTTATAAACTTATTCAAAAGAAAATCGACAGCTATTTGAGAGTCTGAAATCTTCATGACACAGAATAATAAATTAGATGGAGTTTTTCACTGTTCAGCCAGCGGTAGCCTAGTGTTGACAGAGTCCCCTCCCACAGGCACACTTACAAGGACATAGGGACAGAGAGCACAGATAAGAAAACTGAGACCCACAAAAGGAAAATGTTTTGCCATGTCCACAAGTATAGAGAGATAGACTCACAGAACATACACAAACACACTCGGTGGAGATAACATTTCCACAAGGACAGTAGGTGTTTGTCTTTATAGACACACATTCACATAAACACATAGGCTCTATGAAATGGAACCAGCAGAAGGATTCAAAACCTGCATGACCTCAGAGGCAGTGCTGTATAGTAGAATAAACACTGGATATGGAATCCAAGGATCCTGGGTTCAAATCCTGTCTCTTCCACTTACTCCCAGTGTGACATTGGCTTAAATCACTTCCCCTTTCTGGGCCTCAGTTTCCCCATTCATAAAATGAGGACTAGAATCAGCAGATAATTTCTAAAGCCCTTTCCAGCTCTAAATCCTATGAAATTGCTCCCCTTTCCCCGTGTCTTCCTCCCATACTCCCTAAGCGGGCTTAATGATTGGCCCCATTACCTGATGCCCTCCATTTTTGATGCCCCCCCCAAATTGCCTCCAGGATAGTGATGGGCTTCTGGTGCGCTGGCAGAACAAGACAATGGAGAATCTGATAGAGCTACGAAACAAAACACCCATCTGGAATGAAGAGAGTGGCTCCTACACCCTCAATTTCCAAGGACGGGTCACCCAGGCCTCTGTCAAGAACTTCCAGATTATACATTTGGATGACCGTGAGCATTTTAGCGATAGGGGGCTTCCAACCCAGACTGACCCTAACCCTTCTCTTTCCTTTCTCCTCACCTTCCACCCACCCATCCCTTCTGGAAACTAAGGGGAAATCCGGTCATCAACTGAGAGATGGCCAATTTTTTTTTTAAAGTCATGTCCGACTCTTCGTGACCTCATTTGGGGTTTTCTTGGCAAAGATACTGGAATGGTTTGCCATTTCCTTCCCCAGCTCATTTTACAGATGAGGAAACTGAGGCAAAGAGAGTCAAATGACTTGCCCGACTAGTAAGTGTCTGAGGCTAGATTTGAACTCATGAAGATGTCTTCCTGATTCCAAGCCTGGTGCTCTATTCGCTGTGCCACCTCTCTCCCTCCAACATCCAGACAAGCACAGCAATTAGTTGAGAAGCATTCTGTGTGTCATGGAAAGAGTTCTGAGTTTGGGTTCAAATCCTTGCCCTGCTGCTTAGAATCTGTGTGATCTTGGGCAAATCACAACCTCTCTGGGCCTGAGGTTTTCCCGTCTTTAAAATGAGGGCTTTAGACTTGGATTACGTCTAAGGTTCCTTCCAGATCCATGATCCTGTGACTTACTCAGTCTCCTAGTTTCCCTCTCATCCCACCCTTGTCCACCTTTTCCCCAAGACTCCACACTATCCCCTGTGACTTTCTGTGTGCAAAACCGTCCTTTCATGCATCTGTGAAAAGGGTATTTTTTGAGAGCCTCCTGCATGCCCCAATATAGTAGGTCATACAAAAAAAAAATAGTGCTTTCTTAACAAATACCTTCGTTGGATGAATGAATCCAGTGGAGGACACCATTCCTGCCCTCAAGAAGCTTACCATCTAGCTGGGGAAGGGGAATTTAAAACAATAAAAATACTGAACAGTGCTATCCATGCAGGCCAAGGAGGAGGCTCTTCCCACTGGGATAGGAATGTCTAATGGGTCCATAGGGATATTTTTGGGAAGAGCTCCAGGTTCCTGATGCCTGGTAAATACAGAGCACAGCTCCCTCTCCCCAACCCCCATTGAGAAGTCCCCACTGTCACCTGTCTGAAGGCCTTGGGAAGCTGCTAAGGAGATCAGGTTTCAGTTAAAGCAGGGTCTGCTGTGGTTGGGGGTATTTTTAGCAGCTTCCTGTCCCCCTGGATGCGGGGGGTGGATAGGGGGGTGCTTGGCCTAAGGGATGAGACATGGGGGCACAGGACAGACGAGGATATTTTAAGAGTGGGGAATGGAGGCCTAGGATAGGGAAAACAGGACTGAGCTAAAAGATCTTAGATCTAGAAGAGGAGACTGTTGACTAGTTGGGGGTGGGGAAACTGGAACTGAAGTGTGTAGCTGAGTTAAGAGTACTTAGGCTATGGGGGGGGGAGGACAAGGATGAAGCTCTGCGGATGGGACCAGTGATGGGAAGGAGCCTTTGGTGAGTGGGTTAGGAGGGCCAGGCTGTGGCTAGAATAAGGTCTCTTGGGACTGGGGGGTCCTGGACCTGAGGGTGGGAGAGGGCAAACCAGAGATAGCCCTGTCCCCTAATAGTTGAAGCCTCAGGGGCAGCTAAGTGGTGCAGTGGATAAAGCACCGGCCCTGGAATCAGGAGGACCTGAGTTCAAATCCAGCCTCAGACACTTGACACTTACAAGCTGTGTGACCCTGGGCAAGTCACTTAACCCCATTGTCTAGCCAAAAAAACCCCAATAACAACAAAACAGTTGAAGCCTCAGTCAATCTATTGTGTTTTTCTCAAGCACAGGGGTGGGGGAAGGATTGAGAGGCCCCCTGAGGTAACAGTGCCAGGAGCCAGGGTACCCCAACCCACGACTTCTGTCTCTCTCTAGCTGACTATATTGTGCTGCAGTTTGGCCGGGTGTCAGAGGATGCATTCACCCTGGACTATCGATATCCACTTTGCGCCCTACAAGGCTTTGCTATAGCCCTTTCCAGCTTTGATGGGAAGCTGGCCTGCGAGTGACCTCTACCTTACCCCCAGTGCTCCAAGACTCCATGCCCTATGTGGAAGAGGATTCCAGAAGAAACTGTGATCCTGAGCTTCTCTCATCCTGGAGTTCTTTTACTGTAAACTCAAACCCCAAGGGTCCCTCCACCCCAGAGATTCCCAACCTATTTTTAATGGTCCTTGCCAAAGGGACCCTCGGAGAAGTGACCCTTCTGCTCCTGGTGCCCTGATGTGAGTTCTACTCCCTTAATGATCCTTGACCCCGCTTCCAAAGCTACTGACTCTAATTCCTGGAGGGCTCGTCCCTAGAGTCTCCCTCCCCCCCATACTGCCAGCTCTTGGCTGAGACAAGGGGAGGAACTTAGACAGCTGGGAGAAGATGAGGAACATCTGGACTCAAGTTGGCGCTGCACATCTGGATGTGGTGCTCTCCCTCTCCCTAGCGTGCCTCCCCCCCCCCCCCTCCTCCCTCCCCCTTCCTCCCGGCCCCGGCCCCGCCTGGCGCCTTTGGGTTTTTTACCCCCCCCCCCCCCCTCGCGCCCCCCCCCCCCCCCCCATCCTCCCTTCCAGTTACTTCCTGTCCGGGAGCAGTTTGGAGTTGTATATTTTTAAACCACCCTCCCCTTCTTCTCCTCCTCCCCCCCACAACCTCGAGCTGCACTGGGGCTCTGAACTGGGTCTCCCTGGGGCAAGATTGAGGAGGCTGACTTGCAGGGGATGTGCAAATAAAGCAATTTTCCTGGCGGTGAGCGGAACGCTTACTGAGGAAGGGTACAAGGGGACTGCGAACGGAAAGAGGGTTGTTGGAGGTGGGGGTTGGAGTGAGAGGAGTATAAGAAGGGGGAGCTGAGAATGAGGACCCGACCTCATTGCGGGATCCTGAGGGAGCAACTCCGGACCCGCAGGAAGCTCTGAGGATTAAATTAACCCCATCCTTCCCAACCCATTCTGTCTAGCCTCATCCCCCACCCCCCCAGAACAAGGGAAGTCTTTTAGAGTATACACACGCACACCCTCTCCCTAGAGTTGCTTAGTGTCTCCCACTTCGGGGAGCTACGGAAGGCGCGGAAAAAGGGGAGGGAATGGTGGTGGAGGGGGCATTGGAAGAGCCGGAGGGAAAGTGGGAAATGGGAAATTCGAGAAACCAGCCACTCGGGGAGAACCAGACAAACCGGGCCCCGGGCGAGGCTGGAGTAGCCGCCAGGGCGGGGCGGAGGGCGCGGGACCTGAACTGCTGGGTCCCAGGATCTGAGGCTGGAGGCGGGGGTCTCCCAAGCTTCCGGGGCAGGGAGGACACAGTGGGCCCCAGCTCTGGGAAGGGGTACAGACTGTTTTGAGGGATATGGGGGAGAAAAGAAGTCACTTTACTTCCCCATCAAATGCATCCAACCATCGAAGACCCTCGGTTCAGGGGCTGGGAGTTGGAGTGCTACTGCGAACCCTGGGGATCACAGGTCCCTCCCTTTGAATCTCGGCTTGTGATGCGTCGTTAGCCAGCCCCCGCCTCCCCGGGCTGGACGGACTCTGGGTCAGAGACCACGCCCTCGAAGCAAGAGGACACACCCCAAACGAAAGGCCACGCCCCCTCTTGAGACCCAATGCCTGGAGGGGGCGCTGGCGAGAGTGGGGCAGAAAGGTGATGAAGGGGTATGCACCCCGGCACCCGAAACGGAGGTGAAGGCTCCTGGCGGGGTCCTTGAAAGAAGTGGTTGGGAGGGAGCACGCGGGAAGATTGGGGAGAGGAGGTTCGATCTGGGAAGAGGGGGAGGGAGCAGCTGCCCGGCCCCCCGACGGGGGTGGGTCCCACTTGCTGCCCGCCCCTTCCTCGCCTTTCTCTGCCCCGCCCCCCTCTCCTCCGCCCCCCCCCCCCCCCCTCCCCCGCCCCCCCCCCCCCCCCCCCCCGCTCGGTCTCCTCTGCACAAACTTTCCGCCCCGATCGCTCCCTCCTCCGCGCCCGGCGCCTCCCGCTCCAGCCCGGCTCATTCCGCACATTCCTGCCAACCCCCTCCCCACGGCCCCCCGGACACCCCCTCCCCATCTGTCTTGTCCCAGAACCCCCCCAACCCTTCCAGACCCCTTGGCCCGCCAAAGCGGGGCCCCCGACCGGAGCCCCCCTCCCCGGAGCTCGGACCAGGTAAGCAGGGACCGGGCTGGGAAAGAGGCCCAGGGAGGGGAGAGGTGGCTGCTCGCTGGGAAAGAGGCCGCTGGTTTGGGGGACGGGGTCTGGGAGAGAAGTTTCCCCATTGTCCAGCCCTGAACTCCAGCGGGGTTGGTAGGAAGTTTATAGGGAAAAGGGGGGGGGTCCTCTCCGGGAAGCCCCGCCTCCCAGTTGTTACCCATTCCTCTCCCCTTCCAGCGACTAAGGCACCTCTGGAGGTTGCGGTGGGGAGGGCGAGAGCTTGTTGTTTGGGGGCCCTGGCTGGCGGCTGAAGTCTGCGGGGTCTTTCTGTGCTAGGGTCAGTGTCTGCACGTTGTTATGTGAGTGTGCTTGGAGAGAGCCGGGCCTGACCACTCTAGGAGAGGTGGATCAGGGAGCCCCTCTCCCAAGACTGGCGCCTTTTCTCCGTGTCCCCAGTCAGCCAGCCCTGGGCCGCTCCCCCTGCCCGTAGCCAAAGCTCCAGGGCCCAGGCTTGAGCTCTGGGTCCTCCGGGCCCTGTCGCCCTTTGGACTCCCGGGACTAAGGAGCCGCAGTCGGTGAGGCCAGGCCCAGCCCCACACAAGGCCTCCAACCCCGGGCCCTCGGGCCTTATGCTGGGCCAAGCCAGGGTAGCCACCACCAAGGGGCTAGGAGAAGTCAGCCCCGTTGAGAATGAGGGGTGATTGTGTACTGCAGGAGTGTTGTGTTGGAGGGAGAAATTGTAGGTAGAACTCGGTACTCTGGGTAGGAGACTAAAACCATTAGTAAGTTCCCACAGGATCCTTACTTTTCTCTGTGTATGAACACACACAGTTATCTCAACTACAGAGTGGGGTGTGTGCTCCCCTCCACTCAGCACAGGACATGGGGGGCAGTGAGTATAGTGAGCATGGGATTCCCCTTCCCTCTATATGAGTAGTCTCCTCTTTTTCACAACTCCTTCAGTGAATCTGCCATGTGCCTTAATTGGGGTGGGGGGAAGTAATGTGCCTTTGTACCCCCTCTCCATTGTCTGTCATTCCCCCTCTCCCCCTTGCTGGGCTGGGAAGTATGGGGGAAGAGGAGCTGTCCTATACATGGACTTCTAGTTTTGTGTGTTGTGTGTGGTGTGTGGTGTGTGTGTGGTGTGTGGTGTGTGTATGTGTGTGTGTGTGTATGTGTAAGAAAGAGAAAGGGGAGATCCTCCTATATTGGCTCCCATGGTAGACCCTCTGGGGTTTTCAGGAGGAAAGAAGTCATTGGAGTAGATGGGGGAAGGGGGTGGAATCAGAGGCTTGGGGTGGGGGGGGCAGGAAAGCTGAGAGTATGGGAGTGCATTATGGAGGGGTGTTAGACACACTTCATGTCTATGTGTTTCTCTTCTCTCCACTTTCCGGTAGAGGCAGAGCCAGGTCAGGCCTGGGCTTGTAGCCTTGGAGAGTAGGGGGTGGTAGAGATGGGGGTGGACAGCAGCACTCTGAGGGGCTGGCTGAGGTAGCTTTGTGTGCCTGTCTCCTGTGGCCCAGTTCTGCTATACACATTTGCTCCTCCTCCACCTCTAAGCTGGGACTTGTGTGTGCTGGGGGACGCCACGGGCCAGGGACCTATGACCCAATGCCTAGCTAAAAGTAGGAGTGCCTGGGCTCTGGCCTAGTCTCTGGCTTACTCTGGACAAGATAGGGTGCTCTGCTAAGATGTTAGGGGACATAGTTGAATCCCTTCACTTCATGACATCTCATCCCAAGAGGATGAAAGTCCTGGATGGACCTTGTATAGTCTTCCCTTGGAAGGAACTGAGAAACTCCCTCCCCCCCCCCCCACAATGAAAGTAGAGGGTGGTTGGGAGGAAGATCG